ACCTACAATCTGAACTGAGGACGGGTTTTGGAGCTAGCTCACCCTCATGGGATTGCAACTTTTTGTCTCGGCCATTGTAGCATGTGTGTCACCCAGGGCGGGTAGGGGCATGATGACTTGACGTCATCCTCACCTTCCTCCAGTTTATCACTAGCAGTCTGTTTAGGATTCCAAACTCAATGATGGCAACTAAACACGAGGGTTGCGCTCGTTGTGGGACTTAACCCAACACCTTACGACACGAGCTAATGATAGCCATGCACCACCTGTGTCCACGTTCCCGAAGGCACCCCTCTCTTTCAAGAGGATTCGCAGCATGTCAAGCCTTGGTAAGGTTCTTTGCTTTGCATCGAATTAAACCACATGCTCCATCGCTTGTGTGGGCCCCCGTCAATTCTTTTGAGTTTCATTCTTACGAACGTACTCCCCATGCGGGATACTTAACGCGTTAGCTACAGCACTGCATGGGTCGATACGCACAACGCCTAATATCCATTATTTACGGCTAGGACTACTGGCGTATCTAATCCCATTCGCTCCCCTAACTTTTGTCTCTCAGTGTCAGTGTCGGCCCAGCATAGTGCTTTCACCGTTGGTGCTCTTTATGATCTCTACGCATTTCACCACTCCACCGAAAATTCCCTTTGCCCCTACCGTACTCCAACTTCGTAGTTTCACCGCCTGTCCAAGGTTGAGCGCTGGGATTTGATGGTGGACTTAAGAAGCCACCTACAGACGCTTTATGCCCAATCATTCTAGATAACGCTTGCATCCTCTATATTACCGCGGTTGCTAGCACAGAGTTAGCCGATGCTTATTCCTCAGATACTGTCATTGCTTCTTCTCCGGGAAAAGAAGTTCATGACCCATGGCCCTTCTGCCTCCACGCGGCATTGCTCTATTAGGCTTTCACCCATTGCGGAAAATTCCCTACTAGTGCCTCCCGTAGGAGTCTGGGCCGTGTCTCAGTCCTAGTGTGGCTAATCATTCTCTCGGACCAACTATTGATCATCACCTTGGTAAGCTATTGCCTCACCAACTAGCTAATCAAATGCGAGCCCCTCCTCGGGTGGATTCCTCATTTTGCTCCTCAGCCTACGGGGTATTAGCAACCTTTTCTAGCTATTGTTCCCCTCTCAAGGGCAGTATCTTACGTGTTACTCACCCATCCGCCACTGGAAACACCACTTCTCGTCCGACTTACATGTGTTAAGCATGCCACCAGCATTCATCCTGAGCCAGGATCGAACTCTTCATGAGATTCATAGTTGCATTACTTATAACTTCCTTGTTCGTAGACAAAGCGAATTTGGAATTGTCTTTCATTCCAAAGCATAACCTGTCTCCATGTGCTTCATATTCACTCAGAGTTCGCTCCCAGAAATATAGCCATCTCTACCCCCTCACATCAATCCCACAAGCCTCTTATCCATTCTTATTCAATCACGGCGAGGGGCAAGTCAAAATAGAAAAACTCCCATTGGGTTTAGGGATAATCAAGCTCGAACTAATGACTTCCATCATGTCAAGGTGACACTCACCGCTACAATGCTAAGGTCGAGTTTCATGCACAATGGGGCCACAGACGGGCGTCCATTCTAATTGGTTGGTAATCGGCTCGTCGGGGCCCAAGTAGCCTATCAGTGGTAACGATGCACACGAAACTCGATGGCAGCACCGTTGCGATTGTGTGTGAGGGGCAAATCTCTCGGGTCGCCCATGCAGGTCACAAATCATGAGATATGCACGCTAATTGCTCAACTCGACTTAATTGGTCAACGAACGGTTTAATGGGCACAAGATGCTTGTTCGTGGCCCTGATTGGCCCGAAACCCGATACCAGCCCTACTACAAGTACTTGTGAGGTGCAAGTCCCACGAGAGTCCCATCCGAATCATGGATCCTGTGATACGTATGCTAGAAGTTTAATGGCTCGTCCTAGTTCATTCATCTAGCAAACAATTATTTTTTGGCTCGGTTTAATTGGTTAGCAAGCAGTTCATTGGGCATGAGCGTCTATCCGTGGGCCTAATCGACACGAAACCTGACACTGGCATCGCCACAAGGGCGTGTAAGGTGCATGTCCCGGGGGAGTCCCATCTAAGTCACAATTCCCAAGATATGCGCATCGAGTGCTTAGAGTTCATTTGGTTCAACTGGTTGGTAATCAAATTGTTGGGGGCCAATAAGCCCATCTGTGACCCTAGTGCACACGAAACCCAATGGCAATACCGTTGCAAGTCATGATCTTGAATTACGCATGCTTGAAGCTTAGTGGCTCGTGCTAGTTTATTCGGCCAATAAGCGGCTTGTGAGGGGGCCCAAGAAGCCCATTTGCAACCCCAACTTGCAAGAAATTCAAACCGTATCTTGGGATTTGTGGGTCGAACGGGTCTCCCATGGTGGGTTTAGTTCCGTGTTTCAGGCCGATCGGGCCACAAACAGGCATCCTATGCCCAACAAACCATTTGTTAGCCAATTAGGCTGAGTTGAGCGCTTAGCTTGCACATCACGTGTTTTGTGATCCAGATGGGCACCTCGAGTAATTTGCACATCACACACACTTGCAACGGTGTTGCCAGGCTTTGTTTGCATTAGGACCACATATGGGCTTCTTAGGCCCGAAAAATCGATCACTAACCAGCAGAACCAGGATGAGCTATAAGCATCTAGCATGCATATCTTGGCATTCATGGCTCGAATGGGGCTCCCCAGGACTTGCACCTCACACACATTTATAGTAGTGCTAGTGTCGGGTTTCATGCACATTGGGGCCACGGACGAGCATCCGATCCAATTTGTAGGTAATCAGCTCGTCAGGGCCCAAGTAGCCTATTCGTGGCAACGATGCACACGAAACCTGATGCCAACACCATTGCGAGTGTGTGAGGTGCAAATCCTTCGGGGCGCCCACCCAGGTCACAAATCACGAGATATGCGTGCTAATTGCTCAACTTGGCTCAGTCGTTCAATGAACGACTTGTTAGGAACAAGATGCCCGTCCATGCCCCCGATTGGCACAAGATGCCCGTCACTTGGGAGGTTCAAGTCCCACGGGAGTTCCATCCGAGTCACGAATCCTGAGGCATGCATGCTTGAAGCTTAGTGGCTCATCCTGGTTGATTCAACTATCCAACAATTTGCAGGTGTACGAAACTCGATACCAACACTATTACAAATGCGTGCGAGGCGTGGATCTTGTGGCACATCCCTCCAGGCCTCGAATCCCGAGAACGCATCATTTTTGTTTAGCTTGATTTAATTGGTTGGCAAGCGATTCGTTAGGCATGAGGCGTCCGTCCGTGGCCCCGATCGGCACGAAACCTGACGCTAGCACTGCCACAAGGGCATGTGAGGTGCATGTCCCAGGGGAGTCCCATCTCAGGGACTGATCTCGAGATATGCACGCCGGGTGCTTATGGTTCATCCCGGTTCAACTGGTTGGTAATCGGCTTGTCGAGGTCCAAGAAGCCCATCCGTGACCCCAGTGCACACGAAACCTCATGCCAACGCTATTGCAAGTGTGTGCTTGGTGCAAATCCCTCAGGACGCTCGCTAGGGTTGCAAATCATGAGATATGCAAGCAAATTGCTCAACTCAACTTAATCAGCTAACAAACAGTTTATTTTGGCACAAGATGCCTTTCCACGGCACCGATCGGCCCAAAACTTGATATTAGCCCCACTACAAGCACTTGTGCGGTGTGAGTCCCACAAGAGTCCCGTAAGAGTCACGATCCCAAGATATGAATGCTTGAAGCTTAATAGCTTGTCTCAGCTCATTCAGCCAGTAAGCAGTTTGTGGGGGCCCAGGAAGCCCATCTATGGCCCCAACTTGCACAAAATCCGATGCATATCTCAAGATCCGTGGCTCAGATGAGTCTCCTATGAGACTTGAGCTGCACAAGTGCGTGTGGTGGGGTTAATACCGTGTTTCAAGCTGATCGGGGCCATGTACAGGCATCTTGTGCCCAACAAACCGTTTGTTAGCCGATTAGGCCTAGGTGGGCGCTTAGCTTGCACATCACATGATTTGTGACCCGGATGGGCGCCCCGAGGGATTTGCACATCACACACACTTGCAACAGTGTTGCCATCGGGCTTCGTTTGCATTGGGACCACAGATGGGCTTCTTGGGCCCCAATAAGGCCATCACTAACCAGCAAAACCAAGATGAACTATAAGCATCCGGCGTGCATATCTCGGCATCCGTGGCTCGGATGGGGCTCCTTCGGGACTTGCACCTTGTAGCAATGCTAGTGTTGAGTTTCATGCACATCAGGGCCATGGACAGGCGTCTGGTTCAATTGGTTGGTAATTGGCTCATTAGGGCCCAAGTAGCCCATCCGTAGCAACGATGCACACGAAACCTGATGCCAACATCGTTGCGAAAAACAAAATTCACCAATATTAG